TTGGTTTGAGACACTCCCCCCCCCCCCCCCCCCCCCCCCCCCGCTTTTTTTCCCTTTAAGTTTAAACACATTTTGTTTTGATGCCTCTTTCTCATAACAAGACCAACTGAATAATAAATGCCATGACTTCCCATCCCTCCTGCTCTTCATCTTCTATTTGTATCTTTCTTTTCACCTTTCTTTAGGATGTAGGAATGAACCTGAATTCTGTATTCAAACTGTGGTCTAACCATAAGCTCATATGCAGCAACAAGGAGTTGATGTACTGAAACAGTGGTGGTTTCTGTTTGTTGTCTAGTCCTTCCCTAATAATTTCATGTATTTGATTCACTAGTTTAGTTAATGCAAAATACTAAATTGGCATATTCAGAGCTGATCACAATGGCTCCAAGATCTTTTTCCTGATGATAGTTAATTTAGGTAGTCATACTGTCTGTATAAGGCTGACTTTATTTGTGCATGACTCTGCATTACAAGACTTTTTTCTGACACTTAATTATTTGGAAATTCAGTATCATGAGATTTCTGCAATTCTCCAAGATCGGCTTTAGGTTTACTACACAAAATGATTTTGTACAGCTCTGTATAACTGTCATCTCCCTATTCACCTACTTCCCCCTCATTAATGAACATAGTGTCTATTACAGATTCATGTGGGATTCTGCTGATAAACTTTCCGGAGAAAGCTAACTAGTCTTTCACCTCTCTGATTTAATGCCTTATTAATCTGTAACAGGATCTATCCTCTTACTATGTGACAGATTGCTTTCTTTTTCCGCCCTCTAACAGCTTTTGGTGAGTGACCTTGCCAAAAGCCTCTGACAAAGCCCCCTTTATCTACCTGCTTCTGATTCAAAGAATGCCACTTGATTTCTGAGGCATGATTTCCCTGTACAAATCTGTCCCAAGCCATCATTCAGTTTATAATTTGTAGTTAATTCTGTTCTCTACTGTAGATTCTACCAAGTCGCCTGGTTTCAAAATCCAATTTAACAATTTGTGGTTTTTTGCAACCTCCTTAGAATTATTTAAAAAAAACCAAAACAACCCCAAACCTGGCCTTGCCCTTGCCAGCTCCTACATCCTGTGCTGTAGTGATCAAGAGTTTGATCGTTTTGTGTGTGACTTCCTTCTCTAGGTGGGTAGCCAGTGGCACAGGTAATTGTGGAGCTACGGCATGTTATTGCTGTGTGTGTCTCAAAGTGCACTGCAAAACACAGTCTACATGCACTTACAATATTGCTGGGGAAAGGGAGGAAGAGTAGAAATGTCTATCCATAAAGTGAAAGTTACAGGTGGTTAAAAACCTTACTAAACAATCCTTTGAATTCTGGATAAACAGTTTCTGTAGTCTGAAATGTAGGTATATTTTAAGACCTGTCATTACTACAGTCTAGAAGAGATGCTTTGTACTTGGTGTTCCACAAATATTTACAAGGAAAAATGTAGATTTGCAATATAAATACATGTAGAGATGGAGAAATGATTGTCTGTTTTCTTTGTTGTTAATGGGTAGCTGAAGCAAAACAAAAACTAAGTAATTGGCCAAGACTACGATGGCAGTCTGCAAGAAACCAAACTTAATCTTCATAACTTAGTCCTATCCCTAGATTACAGGTTTAACTTTCCCATTTAAGTGTAATATATCTTCATATTGTGGAAAATGTTATTTGTTCTTTTCATAATATCTACCTTCTGTATCTTACAGAAACTGGTGTGCCTATATCCATAGCAGACTCTTGCCTACAGTGGTAGTGGACAACGTGGAAACCTTCTCATCAGGCAGAGCGAAGCCTTGCACTTGGCATATTGGATCCTGTGCTCAGAGGTGTGTAGAACTAGGAAGAAAGAGTACTTGCAAGTACATTAATTATCACCAGCTGCATAATTAATACAACCATGACTTCAGAAATGGAAATGAAAACAGGAGGGAGCAGATTAGCATGTTTCCAGGTCTCATCTTCACATGCCCCTATAGCAAGTATAAAAGCTCATGACTTGTCCCTATAGCAAGTATGAAAGTTCATGACTTGGCATGCTTGCACTCTGGCATCCTCTGATCAGTAAGCCCATTGTATGCTCTCCTCTTCCAGAATACTGCAAGGAAAGGTACACATGTACAAAGTTTTAAAGCACAAGTGGGGAGGAAAATCCCTTCTGTGCAGTTTTCCAAGTTTGTGCTTTGTTGGAGGAAAAGGCTTCCCCTGAGAGGCACAAATATTTTTGTCATTATCTCTCTGCTGGGTGCTTATTTCTGGCACAGCTTTGGTCAGACAGTGAACCTAGAAAAGTAATTGGCCTGGATACAACTTGTAAATAATGACTCTGTTAAACATACTCAGATTGCTTTTTATGGTTTGGGTGCCTCATTGTATTCTCCAAACATTAGATTTCAGTAGTAACTGAAATTGGATTCTAATGCATGGGCCTGGAAAATGAACCAACAAAATAGAGGTTGTAACATATTTTTCCTCTGAAAAATTTCAAAAGCCTCTTACAAGTCAGTTTGACTGTTCTGAGAATTGTCCTCTAGGTGGTATGGCAGAACATGCTTAAAGCTTTGAGGTGAAACAGGGAATAGAGTACCTTTAGGATTTGGTGACTTAAATATAGTTGATTGTATTGTAAAACTGTGGAGTGGACCCTGTGGTTGAAATGTTGCCAGTTTTTTTCTAATGCAATCTAGAAGATTCATAAAAACTTTTTTTTTTGGGGGGCAGGAAAATGTAGCTCCTTGATCTGATCCTGTAAATAAGTGTCTACTATATACATTTTTGAGGCTTGTTTACGTGGAGAGTTATTTTTGAAATAGCTATTCCTGATTAACTCCTTTCATGGACACTTCATTTTCATGAGTGCTTTCAGGAATGGATTATGCTAATGCAGAATAAGGTAGCTTTATCATAAAATAAGACCATCCATACAGCAAAATAACTGTGAACTCTCTTGATTTCAGTTCACCTTAATCTTTGAGTTCTTGCTGCTGAAAAAGCCATTTCTCTGAGGCAGAGCTGGTTGGGGACATATGCAAAGCTCCTGCCACCTGCTATGAATTTTAGTATACATAATATTACATCCCTTGTGAAGGGGTGACAAGATTAACTATAGTGTAAAACAGGGTGGCATTTTCTAATTCATTGGGAGGATATTTTTCGGTCTGACAGCCTTCAGTTTTGTCCCCCTTTCTGGAATGATTTAGATGGGGATTGTGTGTCCAAAACAGTTCTGTAACTATTATATCATTGTATTTTCTGAGATTTGAGGTGTTCTTCATGTTAGTGTTTAGCAACTAGCAGAACTGTGTGATACTCTTTTTATTCAAACTTTGTATTTAACATATTAAGAGGCAAGTAGACTTGCTGTAGTTAGTTTCTTCTGTATGCCCTGCTGCAGCGTGTTCATTCTAAACTGACTTCTCTGTGAAGTTAAGAAAGCTAAAGGAAGTGATGGGGTAGCCAGGACATGCAGAAGGTGTTGGACAGAGAAACAAAATTGCTGCTGCCTCTGCAGTTGCATACTATAAGAGTAATAACTGAGGCGTCACAATTACATAGCCATACCCTCCTTACATCAATGTCCAGAATGGAAATATTCATGCTTCATCGGATTAATGTTTGTATAATCTTCTTTCAAATAATCAGAATAGAAGGCTTCCAGTGTGCACTAAATATGAACTGATGTGGCATAAATTCATTGTGAACCCTTTTTTTCACTGATTTCAGAGAAAACATTATAATCACAATTGTATTTTTGGCTCACTCTTTCCAGTTTAGTAGATATTAATTGTAATAACTTCCATAAAAGTTGGCAGTATTTGACTCCTGAATAAGATACTCAGGGAATAAGTCTGACAGCACTAGACATCAGATTCCTTTAAAATCCATGCAGGTGATCTGAAGGCTGCAATATTAAAACTATGATTGCTATTGAAACACCAAACCCTAGTTAGGCTTCACTTTCAGTTTCAAGCAGTTAATTAAAAGATACATTTGACATGCAAGATAATGTAATGTAGTTATACAGGTATCTTACAACTCCTGTTGGGTCACCTAAAATAGGTTTAAAATGTTCTTGTTTTGCAGGTCCCAGACAACAACACACCAAGCCTACAGAATCAAACATAAAATACTAACATCACTGGAGTGGAAGTGCTGTCCTGGGTACAGTGGGCAAAACTGCCAACCCAAAGGTGAGTAGAGTTGTAAGGATTTGAAACTATTCACTTCAGCAAAAGAAAACAATAGAACCTGATTTATGAGCAAATGGCTCTGCTGAAAATCAGTGCAGTTCTTCCTGTTAATTTAAAACCAGGAAAAATGCACAGTAAACTAAAATGCTTTGGGATGTTGACACTTCCCCGCACATGAATTTCCAGAGTAGCTAAGCAGAATGTCCTTTCCTCTCTTCCACTCTAAATAAAACTTCAGCCTTATTCCATTTTGCTAAAATATGGAGTTTGCATTCAGTGTGTCTCTACTTTTGACCTTTTAGTTATTGAGTATTGCAGTGCTGGGGATATTAAATCCAGGTCCTCTATTGAATACTTGCTGTAAAATTCATCTACAGCACTGTGACTCTCTTGGTTTTCAGTTTCAGGCTCTAAGAATACATTTTAGACATGATAAAATAATGCATCAACTTTGTTTTCCTCTGAATTGAGTAGGACTTTTGTCATTCATTTCAACAGTGACTGAATTTTACTAGGTATTACTCATGATCCCTGTGTAATTGTGCCCATTTTTGACAGAATAGAGTGTTTTACCTCTGCCTTGGTGATCAAACATATGGCAACGTACTGTAGCTTAACATCTGTATAATAGCTATTTCTTTGCTGCTGGCCTTAAACAAGCAGCCTTTGAAAAATAAGATATGGCATCAGCATACGTATTTTAAATGAATGAATATTACAAGAAAGGCCATTAGATGTGGTAGGGAATTCAATCAGCAGGGGTAAAGTAGAGGCTGTGATTAAAAATTAATGTAGAGGAATGAAGAGAAATCACTGTTATTCACATTCAGGAGGGAAATTTCAATGCTGAAAAGCCAGAACCTCAGCAGGCACAGAATTCTCTTCTGTGCAGCTGAGCATGGAGTCACATATTAACACGGGACACAGTCAGCAAGGCTGTCCAGTGGGCATGGATCAGACGTTTTAAAGGTTTGCTTTTTAAAAATGCAAACGTTAGCAAAAATAGATTAGAAAATGCTTATTGAAGGGGGAGGCTACAGTTGATAAAATTGAAATGGCATGAAAACAACAGGGAAGCATTGACCAGGAAAAAAAGCTGTATAACTCAATTTGTAGTGGTATCTGTGTAAAGATAAGAATAAAGGAAAATGTTGTCAAGTGTTACAGGAATGGGTTTGAAATTACATCTCCTGGGTTCTATTTTCAAAGCTCTTCTGGCTTGCTGAATAACTTGGGGAAGCCACTTATAATCTGCATACCCAAGTTTACCCATCTAGAAAATTGAGATGACACTTATCTCGCAGGGGCACTGGGATATTTAATTAATTAATGCTTGTAGAAGTGCTTAAAGAGACTGGGATGAAAGGTGTTATGTCAGAAAGGCTCTTCCCTGCTTCTGGAATCCTGCCTCCCACGAGGAGCAGACCACCAGCACAAGCCCTGCCTGTATTATTCAATTCCCATGAAGGGATGTCAGCTAATGAACTTGAACAGTTGGGAGCCCAACAGCCTTGTCTTCAGGCACTCCCTTTCTGAAATGGTGGGGGAGAGATATTGTAAGCTCTGACTGAGGCTCTCCAGAGTCACTGAGCCTTCTGCTTGGCCTCTCTGCGCTTGATCTGCTCAACAACAGAACTGTTATAGAAGGGTTTCTGTGCCAAGTGAACAGGGGTATTCTGACAATATGTTATAGATCCTGGGAAGGCACTGTTAGTGTGATGTGGGTTGCTTGTAGCAAATGCTAATTCAAAACGGCTTCTGGTTTAGCTTCTCTCTCAAACCAAGTGAAATCATATGTAACTATTTCAGTCTGATAGTCTAAGCAGGAGGAAACACTTGTCACCATCTGATAGTTATTACCAGACATCTGTAAACCATATTTGGTAGCCTCATTGTAACTGCTTGGTTACAGATGCTTCTCAAGGTAATGTAGTTGTGAGTGAGACAGAAGAGCCTCTGGGAAGAGATGTGTTCAGATCACTATTTCTAATTTTACCTCCCATGTGGCAACACATGACCAAAATGGGTAAGACCTGGATCCTAGTCCAGCATGGACAATGCAATTTTACAACAAACTTTTTAAGAAGAGAAAAATGTAGAGATTTCTTGCAAGTCTCATGAAACAGTGCAATATGGACAACTCAACAAATAGAACATCATTATTTTGATTTGGGAATATCAAATGCTTAACTGGGAGCAAAACGGCTAAAATGATAGGACTTGTAAGTTCTGAGTCACAAAGTTCATGACATCATTTTTGTTAAACACTGCTTTATTTTAACTTTTCACCCTTAAGGTGGAGAAAACCATGTGCTTCTAGTAATGTCTGGGGGGAAGAAATCCCAGTTTGCTCATGTACATATGGTCCCTGAACACTGTATTATGTGTCAAAAATGATTTCAAGAACTGGAAGATGCATCTTCAAATATAGATCATGCCGTTTGAATTCAGTTTTGCTATGGAGTGAGCTGAGGTGACTTAATGTATATGAGTTCATTTCCATCTGTGGGTTAGAGCAAACAGCTGGTTCTCAGAGTTGCTGACAATGCCATAGCCATTGTTAGCACTGAATTGTCTCGCATGGTAGCGATGTCATTTCTCCAGCAGATGGCTGTAAAATGTTCCACCCAGGAGCGAGTGCTATCCTGTGCGTGGGGTGAGCTGCAGACACAAAAGGTAGCAATTCACCTTGAAATGCAGGGAATGGCAGGAAACTACCAAACTCCCCGCAGGGACTCCCCTTCAGCCACTCCTGCTTCATCAAAAATATATTGAAAGAAAAAGATCCAATTTCCATATTTTTAATATTCCCTGAAATCATTTTGCATGCTATGTTTAAAAATACATGGGACAATAAATTATACATCTAGGCCAATATATTCAATGATAGGAGCCTAATGTTAAATTCCTGTGTGCATTACCTGATATTCAGAAGTGCTGAGGACCCTGAAGCTCCTGGAGGAACTGGAAGAACTCATTGCTCAGCATTTTGAATTGCTGCTTTTTTTGGTAGTGTTGCTTTGTTATTGTAAATAGCACCTATAAAATGGGTCTAGCAGTCTAAATTTTATTTTATGTTTTATCTTTTTAGCTTAAACTGAGTGTAGCATATACAATTTTTAAAAGGTCTCAAATGAGAGTCATTTGATGGCTATTTCTACCCTAAAGGGTGTATGTATTAGAGTTTCAGTCTAGTGCTCCCATCATATGTGCTTCTATTCAGCATCTAGGATGGGGAATCTCAGCAGTGGGACCAAGGAGCACATATGACATAATCACCATATGATGTGTCAGAGTGGTTCCTTTGGTAAAGGACTGAGCCACACTGGAAGAATGATGTAGGAGAAGCTATACTGCCAGTGACTCTTCTGAATTTTTTTTCGTAAATGAAAACCCTGAATTTCTAATGCTGCCTGAGAAGTACCTTTCCTATAGAGTGATGAAATTTAATAACTGCAGAATATGAGGTATTGTCTCTGGGTGAGTTTTTCATGTGTGTGCATCACTGGCTACAGTCCTTGCTGCTTTTAGCAGTATAATGCACTATTGGCTTGCTCCATTACAGGTTTTCTCCAACAGAGTGATACTATGTCCTGGGTCTTACAGGGATTAAGTTATCTGAACAGTTTAGAGCATTAGTAAACCTAGCACACAGTGATAAATATATATCCTTGAAGCTCTAATAAACGTGAAAACTGTAAGGGTTTGGGTATTCCACAATATGAAGCTGTGAGTGGGGCAATTGATTTAATAGGGAGGATGAAAGGTAAGATGGATAGTATAAACAAAAAAAAAAATCTGGTGTCTGTAGCACTAACAGTGGCAGTGAATACATTTGGAGCAACAGAAAGGTCAGTAAATGAAAGAATAAAAGGACATCGATCAGCTGATCTTTATCACAGGCAAGTAAATGACTCCCTTGTCACAGATTATATCATCACATCACCACCTGATAAATCCCGTGTAATGAATTGAGCTGAATGCAAGTATTTAACTCCTGTCAATAACCATGCCACAGAAAGATAACAGAAGCTATTGAAATTATAAGTATTTGAGGATTTTGTATTTCTTATCAGCCAATTTCAATAATTTCTATGAAACTTTCAGTCTGTATGATAATTTTCTTTGAGTTCCTGTCCTAATTGTTACTCCCCCCTAATTTAGAACATAAACCACCTTATACCATCCTTAGATGTAATCTATTGATCCTCATACATACTGCTAAGAGGCTGGTGAAACATAGGGAATTTCTTGATTCAGCATTTTATTCTGTTTCCTTGGAAACTCATATTATGGCCAGACTAGGTTTTAATATTTGAACTAGAAAATAATGTCACCATACCCAAGTTATTCTGCTTGTACTGTATTAAAGACTGGAAATGGCATCAGTGCCACATAAGTGGCATTCCTTAGATGTGCTGTAGCTGGAACAACATCTACTTCAAAAGCTTCATGAACTGAGCAAGCATATACAAATTGGTATGAATTTACACTAGCAAATTTACAACCTACTCTGTACATATTTAATTTTTTTAAATAATAATGAAATGAAAATGACACTGTTAAGCCTAATGGCTAGAGAAGTAAGTCAGGAAGGTGGAAATTTCAGTTCAGTTCGTAGCTATCCTGTCAGTTGTTCCCTACATTTTGTGAGTGAAGGCACTTTACTTCTCTGGACCTCAGTTTCCCCAACTGTAATATTGAAATGATAATAATGTTGGTCTAACTTTGAAAATTTCTTTGGGATCCTTGGGGTGAGATGTAAAACAAACACAGAAAATCCCATCTACCATGACCAGAGAAAGTATTTACAAACTTGTCACCTTTGTGAAGTTTTTTAATGTAGGTACCAGTCACAAATCTCAGATGACATTTGTTGGTATTTTTATTATGTTTTGAAATGTTTTTTATTTTTTAGGTGCTGCGACAATGTAATATCACTATTGCCTTTTGTGGCAAGATTTCCATGGCTGAAGATTTTTGTAATCTGTCAAAAAAAACCCCAAAATCACTTTCAACAAACCTGACTAATTTTGTAGCTATAAAAAACACCCCTAATGAATTTAACAGCTGACTAGCTCTGTATTGTGTTTGTACTGCTGTTTTATATTGATCTAAAATATTCTTCTAGAATTTTTAGCCCTGGAGATTTCAAAATTCTGTTCGTTATGGGACAAAGTTTTGACATTTTAGTATTAACACCAACCCCTGCCAATCTCAGGAAGCCCTTTATAAAGCCATTCACTGTCTTCATCAGCGTGGTCCCACACTGTGTTATAGATGGAGTAAGCAGATAACAAGAATCACTGCAGATGATTAGGCTTTGGTAAAGTCGGTACAGAATAGAGACGGAAAGCAATTGTTGTGGAATCCTGATTGTCATGTTCCATGTTTCACACACATCCTTTCCTTTTCCTCCCTCTTTTAGCTCAAGAACAACAATCACTTATACACAGCAACCTGGATGAAAGCAGCAGAACTGTCAGCGAGAGGACACCAGGAACTCCTCAGGACCCCAGTGGGCCAGGTCAGCTGTTACAATTACTATCAACTCTAGCCCAATCACTGACCATGTGATTCACTAAGATCACTGCAAAAACAATTTGAGAAAAATTGCTATCAGCTGAAGGGACCTGAATGAACCCTTAGAATTTCTAGCAGTCATGGTTCAGCAGTATGCTTCTCTGATAAAGATAGGCAGAAGAAACTGAATTTAAAGGTACCAGTAGCTTAGCATTTATAGAGTGTCTTGTGACTAAACTAAAATGAGGAAAGTCATTCTACCTAGAAATATTTAAACTGTTATGTTAATGAGTAAAGTAGATGAATTAAGAGAAAAAAAGAAAAAAATTCAACCAAGCAACACAGCCAAAAACCCCCAAATCTAGGAGTAGTATAGACCAGCATTGGTCATAAAAGAAAATGTAGTAATGTTAATTGTATTATCTGAATACATGATTATTGTTATATATTTTCTTATAAAAATTGCTGTTTTAATCAAATTCAGTACAATGATGCTTCAAAGTCTAGCAAGGGCAGCTTAAGTGTGTTTTAAGCTATTCCATCTAGGATGATCAAATAGCTAAGCAACACAGGGACAGTTTACAGCTGTATGCTACAGATGTTTGAGATTTTTTCCTTATTACGTTATTCATTTGCTTACTACTGTGTTTACTTCAACCTACCTAGACCATAGGGTTGTGGAACTTAATGTTGGTGTCCTTGCAAGGGTATGTACAGACCTCAGCATCGTAAGAGCTAGTTAGTAACCATAATGCTTTTATTCGAGCAGTGATCTACATTGAGAAGTTACCTTAGGTGACAGCTGCATGAAAAGCTTCTCCACCTCTTAGTCTCTAGAATTGCTGGGTGTACTCACTTCTCTTTATTTTCCATTACCATCTGTATCATTTAAAGTTTACCAGCACAAATGTTCCAGAAAATTAATTTCATAGTTATCTGCATAAGTATTCATGGGAAAGGAATTTTATTCAAGCCAGGTGTGTTTGCACACTCACTAAATTGGGAACAGAAACAACCATGGTTTATCAGATCATTTAAATTAACCATGAATTCAAATATTAAGTGTTCACTGTAAAGAAACATGAAAAGATATCTGTGATTTAGAGGTACTCAAGTAGTTGACAGACTGTGCTATATTCCAATCTGTACCACCTGAAGGTGTATATGCCTTTGAGGGTACAGAGATGTTGGTAATGCAGAATTATTTAGAAAGTCTGTGTACTTAGGGAACTGCAAGCAATCAGCATATCATGTTTCAATAACAACAAAAGAAATATGTGAAATATGCTTGAATAAGGCAGTTGTTTGAAAAAATTGTTCTCTGCTTGTGATATACACCCCAGCAGGGAGTGAGACTGCATTTCTCAGGCAAATTTTTGGTGGCAAATTATATGCAAGTTATTTGGCAGTGTTCTCTACATACTGTCAAATGAGCTTGTAGTTTACGTCGTGAGGAGCCAGATGGACTTGTGAAAGACAGTGTAAAGGAGGCATGTTGCTTGAACTTTCTTACTACCTCACTTTTCTTTTGAAACTGTTGATGTTTCAATTACATATGTCTACATTGGCTTTTTGTGTAATCATCAGCTGTTATACACTGTGGTGTTACTGTCGCTTACACAGTTGGCCTATATCCGAAAATGTTTTATTGAACCAAATAATAAGGCAAGTTATGTTCTCAGTTCTGTGTGTTGCTGTTGTCAATATACTGTTCTGGTCCTGGGGTATTCATGCATGCTAGGAGAGCAGGATGTCAGAATCCAGATTGCCACAGATTTTGTGGAGACAGTACACATGTATGTGCTTATGTCCATATATGTGTTTTACTTTAAATCATAATTGACAAATAGAAAAATTAGCATAGGTGGGAGAGGGAAAGACTGAATCTGGCATGGAGGTATAGAAAGGTATTTTCAAACGGCAGTTAGGAGAAGCCTGTTGCCCCTTGGTGATATTGTGTGAACAACAGTGTTTTCCAGTGCTGGAGGGAGGAGGATGTTGTCTAGTAAAGCAGGCAGGACCCATATGATAAAAAGAGCTTGATCAATAGAGCATTAAAACATACCACTTCTCTTAGTAGGAATTCTGCTCTGAAAAATAACTCTGAAATTGGAATCTCATAGCTCCATGTTAATTGCTTTTCAGTTATTTTTAAATCAAATGGGGTCAGTTTAGAAGGAGAGAGATACCTGTTCTGGCTGCCAACCCTGCAAACATGACCTGGGGCCAGGACTGACTGCCCTGGTCTGTCTTTCCATCAGCAGCTGCCAGGACTCTACAAGCCAGATTCTGTGTCCAGCTCCCACTATGCAGCCATGTCACTTATAAATCTCACTTTCACGTTCATCTATGCAGCTTGTCTTCCCCCTTCAGTAAGAACTGACAGAAACAGAACTGAAGAAAGCATTGCACCCTGCAGGTTAGTTATCAGTTTGGGTGACTGTGCATGATCCAGTAATGAATTCAAATCACTTTCTGATACTAACAATTCAACCAGGAGCAGAAGTATCCAGACTTGTCTGTCTGTCACAGAGCAGTGTTATGATGAAAAGTATTCAGACAAAGAAGATCCATCAATGTCTTGTCTCCACAGTGCTGTTGTGGAGAATTGCCAGAATCTAAACTAGGTGGTTGAGTTATAAACACAACTTTGTATCTGTGTACGTAGACACCATGGGCAAAGTAAACAGCTGGAGAAGCTAACATCCTAACGTTAACCAGCCAGCCTTATTTACTGGGGTCTACCAATTATGAATTTTACAACCAACATGCCTCTACAGGAGAGCATTTTCATGGGTGTTGACATGCTTCATCTGCACTGACTTGGTGCATTTAGTGAATTTTCTGGGTTTTCCCAAAGACTATCGAGTTAGATATGATACATTTACTTTTTACATACTAGAGTTGTGAAGAATAAAAGTCTAGTCAGAAGAATATGCCCTTTTACACATAACTTGACTATTTTTGTTGTAGTCCTTAAGCCCCTGTGCTTCTACGTGATTTCTGATTATAACTGTTTACTGCCATGGGAATAGACACCAATGCCATAATGAGAAGTGACGTAAGATCAATAGCAATACTGTAAATTTACACTAAATATTTGTATGTGCTGCTAAAGAATCTCTTGCATAGCAGTTTATTAAGTCATAGCATGGCCTGGATTATGTAGGGTAACATATCCTGTGTCTAAGGTAGGCTATTTAGGCCAAATTGTTGAAGGAACTGAAGAGATTTTGTAGCTTTGCTTACAGGAATTAGAGCATTTAATTTTATCAGCATCTTCTGAAAATGCCAGACTAAGTTTCATTCCTGTCAGATGTGAAACTCGGATGGCTAGCTGAAGTCATGTGGAGTCTTAATTTGCAAGACCACGGCCTTCTTCACCACTACCTATCTTAAAAGCATCCAGCTAGGCCTTTTTACACCTGGAGAGACTAGAAGTGTCAGGAACAATTTGGGCAGATTTTAAAATAAACTTGCCTTCACAAGTTGCGCATCTTTTTTTACTGGCAGATTAATGATTATTCCAAAGTAATTTATGTATTAGCTGTTTTTCTGCCTTGCTGCTGTGTTGAACAAGTCTTTATTTTCACCCCAACACTGCAAAGATGATTTATTCCTTCAGACACATCCTTGCAAATTCATGAAGTTACGTTATAAATGGTAAGTAAAAATCAGTGCTTTTGTGATTGTGTTAAACGAGATAGACTAAATGAGAGTTAACTGAATACCCTGTAGGGTGCTAGGTAGAGAAAGAATGGCATTATGCTGATTAAAATATGCTAACCATTCAAAATACTCTTGTAGAATTATAAATACTTTATAATGGATACAGATGCTTCAGTAATTAGTTATTGCTGTGCTGCTGAATGTCACCAATACATGATACATGACAAAAATCAGGATGATTCACTCAAGACTAAAAATTCAGAAACTTTTCACCCCACTTCCAGCAAATGTCTCTCAAGTCAATTATACTTTCTTCCCTACCCCACCAATGTTTTAACACTACTTTTTTTTTTTCTTCTCATTTTGTTGTCTGACCAAGCACTTACACAAAAAATGAATGAGAAGATTAGCAGCCAGGAGATGAAACTGACTTTTCTACAGAAGAAGGTTGACAGCATTGCTTCTGCGATGAATGATGTGAGCAAGATGCTTTCTTCTCTGGAAGGCAAAATCAATGAAGATAAGGGCAAAGACTTCCAGTCTTTTCTAAAAGGCAAGAAAAATAAATTAATGCAATCACTCACCCAGTTAAAGGTGCCAGAAAAAAAAACATTCATAGACTGTCCTATTCTATTGCTCAACATTTATAGGGAGAACTCTTTTTTTAGTTTCATTTCATAATAGAAGGATTTGTTTATTTCTATGTTTGTTATGGTGTCTTTTATAGTAACAAAATAATTACATTCTTGGGTACTACATTGTCTACATGGTAAGTTAAGCCACTATCAAGACATTTTCATTTACTTAAAGCTTCTGCAAATATTTTTATCTGTTTTTTTTTTTTTTTTTTTTTTTTCTGTCTGCTGCTAAAGGATGTAGTACTTGCTTTGCTACCAGGTCTAAGTAATATTCTTTAATACTTAATTCACATGTGCAGGGGAAACATATAAGGAATTCTGTGGTAGTGGTATTTATAACATGGCAAACATCCTGCTGAATAATTTGCCTCTGATCATATTAGGCTACCTTTGATAAACATCTGTACTCATGTTTGGTAGATGAGAAAGACATGGCCAAGGATCAGGAGGTTGGGCAGACCCTCACCAGCAGAATTATGCATCCATTCTTTGCAAATCCTACAGCAAGATCTGTTTGCTACCCAACTACAAATGGTGCTTAACAAACAGACTGGAACTGAAGCTTTCATTTCCTTGATGTGCAATATTTTCCTTATTTTTCAGGAATTTTCCCCAAACTGTTTGTATTACACACTTCAGAATCCAGAGGACTTTCCTATGGTTTAAAAATAGAATGAGGGAACTGGAGCTCCTTACGTTGAGATAAAACTAAAAGAAACAATAAGTGCTATTGTATCTATCTCGAATTTAGCAAGTGTTGTCCCATTTCTTGTATTTTCAGTCCTCTGCCTCTTGAGTTGCTTGTCCCACATGCTAGATGGCTCTCTTGCACCCTGGATCAAGTTTATCCCATCTCTTACTCAGTGACCTGCTTTCACCTGTCCACATATTGCTAGATGGCAATCTTGACCCTTGGGCATACATTTAATTAGTCTTTGAATATTTCCCATTTCCCTTCTGCTTTCTCTTGATTCTTTTTTATATTCCACTCATTCTAGCTGTCATGTCCATGCTATTCCAAGAGGTCTTTTGTTGCATCCTGTGCTCCTGCTTCTCCATTCCTTATCTATATTTAAGGGTCCAAGTCCTAATTAAAATGTGCAGTACAAACCCCCCCATTATTTCACACTTCTCTGCAAATGTGTTTCAAGCCTTTATTGTTTTTTATCTGCAATGCTCTATATTATACCTGCTTAGATGAAATCTCCAGTTGCTGGCCCTTTTTTGATCTGTGTTCTCAATCCATCCCCTAATCAAGTAGCTCTAATGAAAATGCTGCTATCAACTACTTTCTTTGACTCTAATTATGGGCATTCCAATACAGGTTATTCTTGGCTTGTACATAGGTAAACAGAAGTAATGAGGGGAGGAAGGGAGAGAGAACAAGGCTAGTGTTTCTGTTGGCTTGTATATGTGATGTTGGAGGGCAACTGCATTTTCTGTCCAGGTAATATCTGTCAGTCATACTCCAAGTGGGCGAAGAGCATCCTAAAGTAGCAGGAGCTGGAAGGAGTTTCCATGCTGTCCTCTAACTTGGTACAGATGTGCAGTATAGGCACATCAGACTTGCTAAAAACTACTCTTAGAGGCTCACCTGAAGCAAAACACAGCTTTCCCCACTACCACTGCCATCCTGAAGCAACACGCTTTCAAAGCACAGTTAAGTTTGTACTTGCTTCATGCTGTTCGGACTTCTTCCTTCTTCCCCTACTTTTCCATTTTCTTCCAATGGTTCCCAGGTCCTTTGCTCATATCTATTAATTATCTTTTTTCTTATCACAGAAATTCTAATGGTTGACCAGCTTTGTATCAGGGTTTGTTAGGAGTGAGGTCTGTTTCTCTGAACAAATGATTCAATACAGTTTACAAAGTCTTTATTTCTCGGTTTCATCTGTAAATAGACTTTAGTCCCACAAACCTGTCATCTGTTGATACAGGGCAACACTCACTGGAGTAACTGATATACTCTTCTAATTTGATTAGTGAAACCCATTCTGCATTTTCTAAGTTGTTTTCAGTACTCAGGAGATTGTTCCTACTTTTTACTTAGAGAAAATAATTTGGTGTTCTCCCTTTAATAAACTCTGCTTACTTCTTGCTATTCTTTCTTCCTCCTTTTGTTCCACATCAAACCTTTTCATTGATTCCTTTCCTCTTCATTACTAAAATGTACACTCCTTTAAAAAGGAACTCAACAATGGACTGTTAATAACTTCCAAGTCAGAAATGTTATTTACAGCTGGATATATAACCTTAACTCAGTTTCCTGCGTACAAACATTTATTTTGCACATTATTCTTCAAATAATTGAAACTGTAAAGGGAGTATATGTTGACACAAATTAATGACACACTTTGGATTTCAGCCAGGGAGTTAAAATTAAAATTTATAATCTCATAAAAAGTGCAAGATATCTTTAATGTTCACAGGTAGTTTGGACCTTTCTGTTTCAAAATGAGCAACAGAGAAATTGAGTTACACCCATGAATGTGCTCGTGTATTCTCAGCTCAAGCTTAAGAATATACACAACTGTTACCTACAGCACAAGTTTGAATTAGGTCTTTCTGTGGAGAAGTGTGCTATCACAGCCACTGGTGAACTTTGGAATAGGATTTGCTTAGCAGGTACCTAGTTGTCCTAGCCAGCAGGTAAGGGAGATAAACCCAAAGCTGTCTGTTTTATCAAGTTCCACCCCCTTGATAAAAAGAACCCCTGAGAACCAGAGCTGAGTTCCATACAACACCTGTGATCCAACTAAATAGAGTAGGAATAGGAGAGAGAGAGGCTGGCAGTTTCCTGACTGTCACAGAAAGAAAAGACCAGTATAGGTCCTGTGGAAGACCTCTCGCAGCAGGTCTGTTATCAAGATTTGTTGCTGAGATGAAGAAATTTAATTAATTCCTCACAGAAGGTGTAGAGTAACCTTGTTTCTTTCCACAGCCATTAAACTTTTCTTCACAGCTCATTGTATCTCTTAAAGCACAGAACATCTTTCAGCATCATAAAGTAACCTGACCAAATCATCAGTTACAATGATTTCTCTACATGTCAGTTATTTTAGTCTACATTCATATCTTGGTTATTCCTTTCAGCTGCCAGGACATCCTTATTCTCAGGTATCTTATCTTACTGTTTTTCCTTCACTGTAGTCCACTGACAAAGTTCTGTGTGTAAGTGTGCACGTTCATATGCACATTCATGTATATGCATCTGTCTAGTCATTTACTTCCTGTTCAGATAGTGAAAAGTAAAATAATAAAGGCAATGTCAATATTATCACCTTGTTGGTTTTTGTACTTTGTAAAAATTGCTGTGACATCTGTGACCACAGTTGACAGTAATTGAGTTTATTACTTAGGAAACTTCATGCTATATTTCTGAAGTGGCTCTTTTCTAGGCTAGCAAACTTATTGCACTTGCCTATTATATCCTGCCTTGAAAAAAACCCCACTTGAAAGAGCGTCAGTTTTCTACCCTAAGGATCAGATGTGTTCACTGCCCGTTTTACCAGACGTAATGAAGACTAAGACTCACTTATAGTTCATAAAAAGCAAATATTATCAACTACTTCATCTCTGTTTCCAGCTGGAAACACATGCACAATTCAAATGGATCTCCTGTGTAGAAAAAGTACTGTGCTTTTCTCTAGCTTGCTGAACAAAACCATTTTTATTTGGAATCATATTGCACCACTGGAGCCCAAAGTTGCATTGGGTTTCATGGGTCTGATTTCCTCCCACTTTACTGCTCTTGCTGAGAATGTACTTTCAAATAAGGTTTCAGAACATGCCTTGCTGTTTTAGAGATGAAGCAATAAAATCCAGGCTATATAAGTAATTGAGAGGAAAATACAGGAAGGCAACAGAGAATTTCTGCCTTTATCAGTACAGTTTTAATCAGAGAACCGATGGTCGTCAAGGCATTGTAGAGGTTGAAGAGTTTAACCATTCTATCACAAGCTGGCTGCAAGTATACATAGGGTTTAGAAAAAAAACGTGCAAAGAATGCTTCAGTGTTTTAGCTAGACGTAGGTTCTACCTTTGGAGAACAAATTAAAAAATTCCTTCTAATCTCACACCAGAGCAGAACTACTGCTCTAATTCAAATATGTTATGCAGCACTCTTGATGAACACTATTTTATGACTGTCTTAACCCATCTAAGGCTATATGGAAGACATATTTTGATGTTATTCACACAAACAGAATTCCCACACATTCACCTCTGCCTAGTGCATTTCAGGATCAATATTCCTAGAAACTGTTTAAAGAGTTGTAGTATGCAAGACTGACTAAACATTTGTACCTTTAAAATGTCTGCCTTTTGCAGCAGTTGTCATGTTACTAACTTTAGATATTCAATAAGGCTATTCTTTTTATTTTACTTCTTTCTCACTATAGTGTGTTCTATGATCACTTAGCATGTACAATACAATAGGAAGGTAATAATCTCTGCTTTTACTTCTTGACCATAATGTTGACAAAGCAGGTGTTTTTTCATTACTTTCCCAGTGAAGAAAGGACACATCATTTTCTTATGATCAAGCCACAAAAGTACACAGATCTCCTAATTTCAGTGCTCAGAAACAGCACAGCTAGGATATCAAAGTTGATACCATGTGCAGAGTCTGAGTGCCCTTTCAAAATAGCAAAACTCCCATTGATTTCAGTAAAAGCAGGGATGAGTCTTCAAGCACTATAACCCATCCTCTACATTCCTCAGTTTTAAATTTTGCTCTATGGGTGGGTATACTGGGGCAGGGCTGTGTGTGTTTCACTTCTGTATGGCACTGTGTTTGTTCATATTGTAGAAAAAACTTAGATGCTGCTAACACAATTGGTTTGAATGTTTCCATATTTCTCCTTTTTTCCCAAAGGTCTCAAATCCAGAAACATTAATGAATTAGTCAAAGACCTTGTCAAAGAGCACTTTAAAGCATTTCAAGGTGAAATGCAAGAGAGCATGGCTCAAATTTTCAAGGCTGTGTCTAGTTTGTCAGATGATCTTGAAAATACAAAAGAATTAGTCAAGCGTCTGAATGAAACCCAACAAAAATTTGCTCAGGAGAAAGACAGTGGGCCAACAAAGCTTGACATTCTGGAGCTAAAGAGTCATATGGTGCAGATGAAAGAGGAAATGACCCTCACTTGTGACAAGCCTATGAAAGCTTTACAAGAAAAGCAGAAATCCTTGGAAGATAACTTGGAGCATCAACAATCAAGAAGTGTCATTTATTATGAATCTTTAAATAGGAGTCTTACTGAAATGAAAGGTGCTCATGAACAGCTATTATTAGCTGAACTGTCTTCAAGCCAAAACATCCCTTCAGCAGATAAAGTCACGGAGTACAATGTTACAGAGTACATGTTCACATTGCATGAGAAAGTAAAGAAACAAGGCATGATGGTGCTGCAGATCTATGATGACCTAAGGGTCCAAGATAGCAAGATCAGCAATCTCAGTGTTGCACTGGAAATTCAGAGGCAGTCTGTTCTGGGGGTCTGTGATAACATGTTGTCAGAGAGCAGAAGGGATTTCCAAACACAGCTGGCAGCAGCTCAAGAGAATGTGCTTGTCCTAAACAAAAGTCTCTCTGACCTGGTTCTTCCATTGGACAATAAGATGGACAAAATGAATGAGCAAATTAATGATTTGTGCTATGATATGGAGATCCTTCAACCCTTGATTGAACAAGGGGTTCCTTTTAGTCTGACTTCAGAGTATGAGCAACAAATCAAAACTGAAGAAATCAGTGAGAAGCTTGAAAACCTCACTACTGTCATTAACAGAATGAGTTCTGCAATCAAGGAGCTTTCCAAAACTCAAGAAGGACTTGAAAATGAATCTCAAGCTTATCAGGAACTGTTTGAGAGTCGTGTTAATGAGTGCTCCATGGAACTAGAAGATGGGTTAAACAAGACCATGACAGTAATAAACAGTGCTATCGATTCTATTCAAGATAACTATGTACTGAAAGATATGCTACGTGTTCTAAGAAATGAGACTGATGTCTGCTGTGGCAGAGCTGAGAAACTGGTCAGCCTCCTGGCTTTCATTCCCCAATTCCAACAGTTGAATGAATCCCTCCAGACACTGCTCCTTGGTAAGAAGTATGAGTTCACTTCACAAGTAGTGCCACCCCTTTCTGATCTTCCATACGAGGAGTCTGACAAAAGTATCCTCCACAATTTCAGAAGAGTTTTCTATATTTTAAATGATACATTCTCAAAAGTGGACAATCAACAACAAGATATCAGCCACCTGAAAGAAAAACTATTTGACTCTGTGGAGGAATCAAGGGACCATGAGGTTCGCCTTCTGAATGTGGAGTCAAAAATTTCCAAGTTTTTGGCAAACAACTGTGTCCCACTGAAAAAAACCAAAGCTGCCTCGACAGAGAAAGAACTAGTGGTCTCACTTCAGCTCCAGACGCTGAGTTCCAGGATCAAGGCCCTGGAAGCCAAGTCGATCCACTTCTCAAACACCATTCCATTCCTGAACAAGACTGCTCATGAGGCCTGGGGGCTGTGTCAGGATACAAACAACAGCATCCAAAAAGTGAATGCGAGTATACCTCTGCTAATGAAACCTGCTCAGCCAGATATCCACCTGCTGCAGAGAGGCCTCAAAGAGCTCATTGAATCTGTGCTTGAAATAAAAGCAGGAACCATCTTGACAAATTTAACCCAGCGTGTTGATGTATCGGTGGCAAATGCAATGAACAACATCACCAAACTTCAGAAGCAGGTGAAACCGGTTATAAAGAAACCAGCCCCAGCAAAAAAAGGAGCAGCAAATGTAACCATGGGCCTGGCAAGCCGAAGTCAGAGAAACACAGATAATACTATAGAACCAGGTAATACATTTTACTCTACTAAAAATGAAGGTCTTTGTAATAAAGGCTTATGTAACCATTGTGATGAACTGAGGTGGCAGACCTTGACTGAGGTTGCATAAAAAGCCCATAGACTGCAATAAAGAGTGTTTCAGAGAAACTTGAGGTTACTCTGGTCTCTTGCTTACAAGAGAATTTATTTTTCTTATGAGGATACTCTGCACTAAGGCATCTAGGAGCTTTTTCCTTAATAAATTCACATATGATCAATTTAAGATACATATGTATGCACACATACTCAACTGAGAACCTGACCTTTCAAATGTAACTGACAATTTAGACAGAATCTAAACTACAAGAATTTTGTGCCTGCATCTCAATTAGCAATTTCATTAAAAAAACCATGCAAGCTGGGAGAGAAATCTGGAGTTGCATCAGTACTTTGGAGTGTCAGCGGGGATGAAAAGTATCAAAAACCTGAAGCAAGTGAATACACCAAATGACTGTAATGAGGATTTTGCCACCTCCTTCAGTACTTCATTGAGATTATTAGTGCAGTTACAATTACAATAGTGTGTTCTTGCAGAATCAGGAGACCAGCCAATAAAGTAGGTTTGTCTTGAATCCATCTGGAGAACAGAGCAGCTAAGTAGGAGCTGCCATTCTTATAAAGGACATTTTGAGTGTGATTTGCTTCTGAACTTAAATTCAAATGTCATCATGTGAAATAAATTCATATGGATGAATCCACAGAAGTACAAACTCTGAGTTATGACTTTTGGAATCAGACTTGAGTGAAAATCAATAGCACAAGATAATGTTTTATGGAAATATAATTTCTGGGAAAAGACAGAAAATAAAGAGTGGTTAAGTGACTAGAAGCCACTAGAGGACTCAAATTCACATTAAAATAAGTGAGACAGATTCCTAACTGACAGAGAGATCTCCAGATACTTTTGAAGACCCAGACCAAAATCTGTTCTGTAAAGCATTCTTAAACTTATGAACATTTCTGAAATTATATTTGGTCCCTATTGTAAGCAGATGTAGGGGTAGTAAGAGCTACCAATCTTGTTCGTGTGCTAAGACCATGGGCAATGTCCTTTCCTCTCTCCCTCTCTGTGCCTCTTCCCTCTCTTTCCCCCCTCCCTCCTTCATCTCCTCCTGTCTTAGGTACTGCACTTTTCAATAATCAATGGAAGGATTCTTTTTAAAGCCCCAGTCCTATGAGTAGCTTCGCTTCTGCTGAAAGCCATCCAAACTGAAAGATTTCAGTCCTTGGTTATCTTTTCAGTTACAGAGGACACACAGCTATTCAAACAGGCAGTCACAATTAAAAATGCACCAAGATTTGCCAAATTCTTACTACCAAGTAGATTGAATATTTTTATATTAAAAACGACATTTTTTTCTCAGTCATTTCTGTTTTCTGCCCGTTCCTGCCACTGCACAGGGTGGAAGTTCAAAACCCTCATTCACAATTAAAATTAAGGGAAAATGAGCTATGATGCCTTTGATCCTTCCTGAGTCTTCTACTTTGTTGGAAAATGTCACCAGTGCTACATGCCTGGAGCACAGGAAGCTGCCATCTGCTCTGTTTTTTACTTCACGTTAATGAATTTGTGTCTTTCCTATTTATTATTTGTCTCATGGTGAATTTTAAAGCTTGCTTGATAACATTTGATGTATGCTCACTCTCACAGAAAGTGCAGGTCTTTGCAGATGTTGAAAAGCCCTATTTTTATGCAAGGTTTCTACATAGCAATGTTTATGCAGACTTTTCCATCAGTAATGAGCTTTTGCACTTGATGTTTCATGCCTAGCAGTCATACATTACATTTCTGTAAGTTAAAGAAGTAAGACTATTATCCTAATTAACAATTACCAATCTTCTACCTGGGTTGATTTTACTTCTCCAGGAAAGCTTTTTTTCTCAAGTTCCAGGGGACCATCCAGAGATATGTGCTGACTCTGCTAAAGTTTCTAGAAGAAACGCTAAGGCATAATTGGCTAATTATAAAATGTATTTGACATTAGATGGTATTTTTCAATTAAAAAATATTAGAATAAAATTCTAGAAAGAGGTGAATGACAATTGTCATTGATTCCAATACATTCAACATTTGATCCTCCTCTAACAGATTGAGATTTTCATTGGCTGTAATGTGTTCAGGATTTGGCCCTGAGGTAATACTTTCCTCAGTAGTTATTTGAAATCAAGGGGAAACAATGTGAATTTGCATTGCATATGCAGGGACATACAGGTTTGGAGACTTCCCATGAACAAAAGAAAAGGTTTATGTCAGTTAGAGGCTGCAATATGTGTATGAGGGACAAAAAAACCCTCTAACGCTTTACCTGATACTAACTGTAATGGCAACCTGGTGGGAATAAAAAAGTGATGGTCTTAGGACAGCTTCAAGTATCTAACATAGGGGAGATGATAGCCTTTAAAGAAAAAAATATACAGTAAACTCTTTATTAGTCTTCGTTATGGATTATGTCTGCTCCTACCTTCCAATGTGTTGTTCTACTGCAGAAATGCATGATGCAGCATGAGGGCAGCTTAGCTCAGTTCCCATTTTTCCCATTGGCATTTAGTGCTCTATCTGTTCTCTACAGAATCTAGAGGCTGCCATGGTTTCCAAAGGTGAATGCACTCTTTTGTTGCACGTCTTGTATTAGTTGTGGTTTTGCTTTATTCAGATTATGCCATCCTCCCATCAACATGAATAACTGAGAGTGCAACTGTGTTACATTTAAATATAAAACAGTGCATCCATATGTGAGAGAGGTAATTTCTTTCCATTCTCATTTTCTGTGTCTTATTTCTGATTTTGTTTTCACATGATTTCCGACTCCTAACAGAAATGCAAGCTTCCATTGTCTCTTTATCATTCAAGCCTGCAGTGAAATTAACCTGTTTAAATGTTTTCCATCTTGTGTTTTAATTCTACAAGTTCAATGATTATTCTATTTCAGTTTGATGACATATACTTCAATTTTGCGTATTTACTCTTTAGACTAATGGGTAGATGAAACTGTTCTGTGGTTTTAATTTTGTGATTCTGAAATCATCACACTGAAAGTATTAGATACCTCTGCTTAACAGAGAAGCAGAGTTTCCAGAGTCCACGTAGCTCAGATCAGTCTCGACAATCTGCTCCCACCCAAAACTGGAGAGCACAGATGAGGCACCTCTCCTCCTTGCTTTTTGCCCAAGAACACTGCGGGTGAATCTTTGTGGTTTTTTTGCACTGCAAATGCCCTACACAGCACTTATATCTGAATTCCCTGTCAGGGCCCTGACTGCACCGATAGCCTTAATTGCCCTGGGCATCCTGACCTAGTCCCGAGGCTGCATACCCTGCCCATGTGCCTGGGATCCCTGTTTCAGCTCAAGCCAAAATCCCAGGCCTTTTCAGTTATGCTGGGCTGTGACTAACACTGGTTACCATGATCAACCTGTCATGCTCTGCTTGTCACCTTTCCAGGTGAGGCACCAGCCCTGCTGTCACCCTCATTTCCTGGGTGCTGGCCCCAGCGGGGCTGCCTCTGTCCTGCTGTTCCCTGGCACTCCTCGCATCGAGGCTACTGGGGATGCTCATCGCTTTCATCACTGTCAGACTGAAAGCGCTAAGCCAGATGTGATTAATAATTGTAGGCTGACGACCAGACTAAGCCTGTGTAAACAGGGTGGTTTAGTAGATTCCCAGGCTCTTCCAATCTCCCAGGGCTTCCTGAGAGACAGTTACTGATAACTAAATATTGAGAAAACGTTGGTTACTTCCTGTTCAGGCATTTCCAAATTGAAACACTGGAGTCACTTCTTTCCATAAGGAGACCATTAAATTGCTAAATATTTGAGCTGCTTCTAAACAACACCCCAGTAGATACTGACAGAGCTTCATTATTTGTTTGAAGATTTGTTTGTACAGCATTGGCAGTCTATTTCCCAAAAGAGTTTCTGGCTGCTTGCCTTCCCGAAGAGTAGCAAACCTCAGCATTAACTGGCTCTCTTCACTCCTACCATATCGAGCATAAATAGCAACTGCATTCCATTTATTCTCTGCTATTAATAGCTGCAATTTAAGCCATTAATTTAATTTATAAGGTCTCCCTCTTTTACTCATCTACGCTACTAAGTTGTGAAAGACTAATTAAAAATAGGATATGTACTGTAGTAGGAAATCCTTTCCTAATCTGAACCTCTTGGCATCTTTACCCCAAGCAGACAATATGGACATATTATCTCAGGACGGCCTTCAGCAAGGAAAAAGAAAATACTGGTCAGATGGGCAGCCTCAGCCAGAAATGACAGCAAAAGCATGCTATTGTAAGATCACATGGAAGTTACATAGACATTACCTGCTCAGTGGAGATCTAGGGCATTTGCCTCTTACTCTGAAAATCCTAACTTGACTCAAATCTCTCCACAGCTTCTCCTAGTTCTAGCAAACAGAGCAGGCTCCCCAGCTGCTGTTAAGCAATGCTGCATCTGGAGGGTTAATTTATTGTAGGTAAAGCTAAGTCTGAATTTGATTTAACTCCAAGGTTAAGTTCAGACAAAGTCATGCCTCAGCAGACTGTTAAAACACTAGTCTCAATCTCATCATCATTTCCTTTTTGTGATCTTTTTCCTGTTTCTTGGATTTAATTCTTCTTTATGATAAGCAGAGGCCAATTAGCAGAGAAGCTGCCATGTTCTTGCACAAAGCTTTTGTATTTTGGGAATATGATACAGTCAGCACAATCAGCTGTTTTCCTTCCTTTTCTGCTTTCCTTTCACACTTGGTAAATATGTGGCTGCTTGGCAAATATGAGTGAAAAATAACTTCAAATAAGTGTGCAGCAAAACTATTATCTGAGAAGAAAAACATTATTTCCTCATGTCCAGTTGCCTGTGCTGTGACCCCAGTCATGACAGTCCTAAATTGCTTTATTTCAGGCATTATGGGATGGACATGATATTCTGCGAAAAGAATTACTGTTGTGTTTTTAAGTCCATATGCCCCATCAGTGTGAATTCAAGTGGCACTGGACAAAGTGCTTTAGCATTCTGCTCGCTGAACTAAAATTTCTCATGGACATAGTTTGCCTTATTGCAGCAGTCTGTGAAATGGCTGAGTGAGAATCTGAAGATCACTATGGGCCAAAAAGTAGATCCTCTCATAAAAGGCTTTTTCAGCTCCCACCTACCAATCTCGATTTACCATCACAGGACTGTGTGGAGTTCCCTTTCCAGAGTGTACCCTTTCCCAGAGAGTAAAGGTTCATTTTCTAAAACATCTGACTTTTATTTGACCAAAGCAAGAGAAAGGAAAAATGTATGGCTTTGTGTTCAGAATTTTGCATAGCAATATTTATTTTCTAATGTGATCTGAATGTTCTTCCCCTCAAACTGCTATGACAACACATTGTACAATTACACTCAGTAGTTACTGTCTCATAGCTCAGCAGCACTGGACTGACAGATTTATCCGTATTGGCTGGGCATGACCTGGCCAGCTCATACATAGTCATGAAGAGAGGCAAGAACATCCTTGGTGAGGGTGCTCTGCAAACCCACCCATTTGATATAATTTGTGTTGCTTGAAATACAAAACTTCTACAACAGTCTCAGTAGATATCCTGGAATTGAGTTATTTATGGGCAAGAACAAGTACTGGAAGTCGTTTGGACAGCATTTAAGATCTTTCACCACCAGTAGCCAGACTCTCCTGCAATGGTTGTGACACGTCTGGTTGAGTAATGTCATAGACAGGACAGTCCAACCTGTACATCAGCAGTACAAAATCTGTATTTTGGTACACCCAAGGATAAGCTGGCTCTGTCCAAAAAGAGCAGCCTTCTGTGCCTGCGCTAGTGAGACCAAACTGAAGCACAGATTTGCCTGAACCAGCAGGAAAATAACTATTTCTTTTGTCTCACCAGAAGAAGGAAATAAAATTGCATATGTCAGTACTGTCTCTTCAAAGTTTTGCTGTTTGTTTCTGAAGGACTCCTGTAGTATGGTCAGCTCCAAGCCTCTCAGCACATTCCCATTCGTAGTAAAGACTAATTAGCTGATCCAACAGGTTTCTTTAGTCATGTGATTGCAGACAACATGAACTCAGCATTTATAGGTTATTCTGAATACCTTGGAGGCTAGCTGAGGGTGTGCTGTGTTCAGGCAAAGAGGGAGGTTAGACTAGCAATGGGTCCTGGACAGGATCTGAAGCTGGCCTTCACACAGAACCCCTGCAGAAATTCCACCAGCTTTATGAATTGACCAAGAGGCTTTCCAAGATACTGAAAACTTGGGAAGTGTCACTGTAATGACATTGCAACTGATGTTGTTGGGTTTCCTCCTTCTCTATCACAGGGCAGTATTCAGCTTGTGTCAGTTCCCCATGCCACAATGGAGGAACCTGTATCAATGACAGACAGAGTTTTATTTGTGCTTGTCGCCACCCCTTTGGAGGAGTCAACTGCAGCACGAAGTTGGTGAACGACAATTCTCTGAGTGTCGGCAAGTAAAGAATTTAGTAGTGCAATATGCTAGCGGTACGGTCCTCTGCCCCAGGGCCTAATTAGAGAGCATTTGCTGGTCAAAGGTCTCACATTTCACTTTAATGAGTGCCAACTCAAGAAGTAGTGTCCTGTGTTTTGGTGCTGAAGACATCAATCCCTGTGGGTGACTCATGATCTCTTTCTTTAATATGACCAGAAGATGGGATTAAATTGGGCTGGGATCAGCCATAATAGCTGGAAAGCTCCCTGCTGAATTGCACAGAGTGGGAGGATATGCAGTAGATGTATCTGAACATGATATCATAGAATATGAAGGGGGAGGTAAATTCACATCACTGGGGAATATCAGCTTCAGCACGGCCATAAATGCTCTGTAAATACCAGCAGCTACCATGATGTGTGGGACTCTGGCCTCAAGGAGTCATTTTAGGGGTGCCTCTGATTTTCATCAGCAAAGATGCAGCCCTTGAAAGATATTTCAAAAAAGAAAAGTGGAAACTGTGCTATTCAGTCCAGTAAACAAATAAATAATTTACATCCAGGCCACATGGAATGTGAATTTTATGCAGCTTTCAGCAGCCATTTGGCTGATTCTCAGTCATGACAGCATATGAATAGCGAATAAAATAATTTGTACAGTGGCAGGGAATCATAGTGTGCAGGCTCAACTTGAAGGGAAAAAACATATACTTTTTTTCCCTCATTTAACATCAGGAGTGCTAAACCTCTTCAGTGTTTGTCTAAGATTTGTGGAGAAAATTCTTGGCTTCAGCACACACAGATGAACAATGAAAGAGATCCAGGGGTGGGAAAAACTTCGTGGGGAGGGGGGGAGTGCGGGGAGAAAGAAAAATAGCAGTTCCCTTAATGATAACATAGTATAGACAAACATAAAGTTCCCTTGCTGTTTCTAAAATTATTCTTTTGTGGATACACCTAGCACTAATTGTGAAGAAAATGACTTTTTGTACAATACAGAAAAGCTCTGTGTTTATGCAGAAATACTATGTTTCAGTTGCTCAAGCTACTGGATGATGTGACTTCAGAAAAGCTGCTTTTGATCTTCTGGCTGGTCCCAGTTGCCTTTCTACAATGTAACATTACTTGAAATTGTTCTTTGTTCCTTTCCAGATTTTTCAAAAGGATCATACAGATATGCACCTATGGTGGCTTTTTTTGCCTCTCATACGTATGGAATGATGACTCCCGGACCCATCAGGTTTAACAATCTGGATGTCAACTACGGAGCTTCATTTGCCCCAGCAACCGGGAAGTTCCATGTTCCATATCTGGGGGTCTATGTTTTTGAATATACCATTGAATCATCTAGTCCACGTGCCTCTGGCTATCTGGTCATTGATGGAATAGACAAACTCACTTTTCAGGCTGAAAATATTAATAGTAACAAGTACACTGACAGAGTAATTACTGGGAATGCTTTATTAGAGTTAAATTATGGTCAAGAAGTTTGGCTCAGGCTGACAACTGGCTCTATACCAGCCAAGTATCCACCAGTAACTACGTTTAGTGGTTACTTGTTATATCGTACCTAAGTCAGTCCTAATTGTAAACAGTTGCCATCAAGTGAAGCAACCTGCATGGGAATTTACCTTTGCCTTTAAATAGTTTGTTTCTTTAACAGCAGTAAGTTTCTCAAAGTAACCAGTGTGATGGTGTTTTAAGTACTGATTCTCCATGAAGTTGCTTGGTTGTAGCCATGTGTGCATTTACAAGGAGAGTCCACAGGTTGGAGATGGGGGAAAAATAAGCATCTTCCTCATATATATAAGCATGACTGAGAAGCACAAATCTAATTATGTTCTACATTTACATTGCATAAACGTACTTACACAAGGTTGCTGAGAATCAGTTCTCAAGACAAATCAAAGCTGGTTTTGATTATTTCTTTACAACCTGAGTGCATACCAAGGGTGATGGATAGATTTTGATGACTCAGATGCTGGGTTACTACTTAGCTCATTGTATCAAGTCATAATCATGTATATATTCTGTTTGGAAAAAATATATTTCTTTTTCATTTTGCCTGACATCATTCACCACATATCTTGATATGTCAGCGTTTAATTGATTCATGTTTTTTTTAATGTAACCAGCATGACAACAAACTGGTTTTTACCTAGCAGAAAAAAACCCAAGAGGGGATACTGAAAAGCTGCACATAGATACATTCAGATTAGAAATAAGGTGCTAATTTTTAGCAGTGAATATAATTAGTCATGGGAAAAACATTATAATGGATTTGGTGGAGTGTCTCTGTTGCTTGAAGCATTTAAACCACAGCTGGATTTTTCTTAGGTGATATGTTTTTGACCAAACATGGTTATATTGGATTCACACAGATTTTAACATGTAAACTTTGGCCTACAAAGTACACAAGGTTAAATGAGATAATCATACTTTCTAAGTTTGAGCTCTATAATTCTATGAGTTTGTTTGTTTCTGCATTATATTCACTAACTACTAAGGCAAAATGAAATGAACTTTAGTCTGCATAAACCAGAATGTGATTTCCAAGCACCAAACCAATAAAAAAAAATTTTTAGTTCATGCTATGACTCCCTGAATAAATAAATCCTCAGGTTCACCTCCTTATCAGTTGCAAAGTCCTGGGTTGCTGCAGTTTCTTGATAGCCCATTGACTGGTGTGACTGGCCAGGTTTGCTTCTGGTTACTGCCTTTGTTAATGCTAATTGATCAGGTTTTATGTCTCTGTGTTTGTCTCCCTCCCTTTCCTTATCCTCTGAGCTGAGAAAAATAAATTTTCTCACACTCCACATGTCCTTACCAATTAGTGCCACCAGCCAGGTTTGTTCTCATCACTACCTCCCTTACTATGTGTCAGGCAGGTGTGTCTCTGCTTGTTCTTGTTTATGGCTCCTTAGACCAGCTACCCTTAAAGGAGCAGATGCTCTCCTTCCATGGCCCTTACAGTCAGTTATTGTTAATTGTTGTGCTCCAGTGATCTATGGCAATTTATGCCCAGAATGTTTTGAAGTTCCTTGAATTATTTTGTTTTCCACTGTCAGGAACTTTTATTGAAAACACATGAGAATCTTCATCTCTCTAGTTAATGTACCTTACCAGGTCTTAAGGTGAATGTCCATGACATGACTGAATTGCCCTGTGCTGTATATGTCAGATAAGATAACCCACAGCACCTTTCCTCAGGTGTATAAAACTACACTTTGTTGTTCAAAACTGAAATGTGCAATCTCCACCAGGAGCATTGGTACCGAAGCGTGTCTGTGGGCGTGTGCCTGTGTGCACTGGTTACCTGAACTATAGAAGTATGCTGCACTGAAAGGCCTTCTCCCAGCTTCAGGGAGGGGGTAATCCTACCATGGCTTGTGGTTAAGGACAGCAACTGAGAATTGATGAAAGCTTTCAATCCAAGCTCATTTTCTGAGGCCCTAAATCCACTAATTAATTGTTAAGAGATTTTGCAGCACACAAATAGTTATTAAAATATCCTGTTTCCTTGAAGGATCTGAAAAAAACAGAGCCACTACTCTAAGGGTCAATTGCAAATCTTGTTAACAGCTTGGGATGTTTTACTGTTGCTTGTATTTTTGTTTTTGTTTTTTGGGTTTTTTTTTAGGCCAGAAATCCTTTCTTCTTTGTACCTGATGGATTCTTATTGTACCACGAACCCTGAATGAGTGTGCTACAGACCTTTCTCCTGTTGCATACCATATTTTTCTATAAACACTCAAAATCTTTGATACGGCGCTAACTCAGCCTACCGTATCATTGAATTTTATCAAATGTAATGACCACAGGCCCCAATCCCTGCTTGTATGATTTTTTCATTTTAATGTGTTTAGCCCTCTTTATTCCTGCTGTGGCTATGGCTAAATGGCGTGAAAATTACTCTGCAGATGAAATTCAAATGACCCACTAGAGACTGCATCTCTGTTTTAATGTGACTTTCTTCGCCCGTGCTGCCCTTGCCACTAAATTCTTCAAGCTGGTTCTTCATCTTCACAGGTGCTATTTTCCCCCAGCAGCCAGATACTTTCTATGTCATGGTACTGGTTTTCTTTCCTCTTTTCTTTTCTCCTTTTTTTCTTACAAAACTCTGAATTCATTTGGGTTGAGTAAGAATTCTGATTAAAACCACATCTGTAGGAATACCACATAGAAAAATAATTTCCCTAATAGAAAATAGTACTGAAGCTTATTCTTATTGTACTATTTAAAACACGGAAGAAATATTTTTAAAATATAATAAATGTACACTCCCCTTTTTATACTGTGCAATAATCCAATAAAATCTTTCTGCTGATGTATTAACACTAAGTATACTTGGCTTTGTCTATTGTTGAAAACTAAAATGCAGATTTTTCACTGTGAAGATAGGTTTGCATTGGCCACTTAGGCTCATTTGTGGGCTTGCGACTATGTACCTGGGCTGCCTGGACTAATGAAGCAAACAATATTGAAAAATAACTGAGGATCAATAAAATCAGTCAGCTTACCTATTATGCAGAATAGACAGCAATCAGTCCAAACTCCCAGGAGAACTTTTTAGGCATCAGCCAGGAAAGGTGGTTCCCGAGGCACCTTGTTACTTCTCTGCTTTCATTTTCACACTCTGATTTGCATTCCCTAATGACAGCAGGCAGCAAATCTGAATGTTCATCTCTACCCACAGCCCTTGTGAGGGACCACAAAGCCATCCTGAGCCTTTGTACTTCAGAGTGAGTGTTCTCTTTATTTGGGTAACTCAATAACCATGGCAACATTTTGTATGGTTTGGCTTTGACAAGCCCGTCCAATTTACTCTGGAGCTTGCATTATCATTTCCTCACCTACACCAAGCAAGTTACCACTGAATGCATTCCCCAGCCCCTCACATACTTAGCATTCATGCTGAGATCAGCAGTTTATTTTCCTCACACACCTTTTCTAGCTGAATAGCCAGCACAACCCTGCTTCGCTCCAGCTCATGCCAAAATTCCCTGCTAACACATGCCTGCCTGACTTGTGGGTATTGCTGTCTGTCTGTACATCTAGGATATTCTTGTTCAATTTTATTTATTTATTTATTTATTTATTTTTCTGAGAGAATAACATCTACATTGGCAGCAAATGGGAAGAAAGCCATTATTTCTGAATTCAGGCATTGACCTGAAAGCATCTATTAGAAGCAGCACTGCAGCTAAACCCCACCAAAATCAGTGGGTATCTGATGATTAAGTACTTTTCACAGTGGGATAACAAGTACATTGAGACAGTTCCAAACCTGAATCTTCCTAACAGCTAAATTCAGGCAAGCAAGCAGAAGATTGCAAAACAATACAAAACAAAATAAGAC